GTCTCCCAGAAGAGGCGGAAGGACAGCCTGCTGGCCGTGCGCTGGTTCTTCGCGCGCTCCGACGCCCCGGAGGCCCTGATGGTGAAGATGACCAAGCTCCGGGCGGTGCAGTACTATGGCAACTTCAGCCGCAGCACCACCCGCCAGAGGCTGCGCCTGCTTGAGGAGAGGCAGGGGGTGCTCTACAGGCTCTCGGTCCTGACCCTCCGGCCAGCAGATCAAGGGCATTACGTCTGCAAAGTCCAGGAAATCAGCAAGCACAGGAATAAATGGACAGCTTGGTCCAACGGCTCCTCGGCAACAGAAATGAGAGGTAAGGGGGTGCCCCATCTCTCTGGGACAGGCGTGGGGGACAGGTCAGTGGCCCTTCCTCCGGTTGCCATGCAGGGCAACCTCTAGCTGTTGGCCTGTGTGGGTCATAGCCATGTGACTCAAGCGGGGGTGGGGGATGAAGCTAGGTCTTTACTTGGACACTGGAGTTGACCTGTGATGTAGACATGGAAGAGAGGACAGAAAGGAGCAAGGGCCCACCCCATGCCACCCAGCCCACACTCTGGGCAACACCTTTCTCATGTCTGAAAGACTGGGCTGGCTGTGTGCTGGCTGTGTGATAAAACTGGATGCTAGTCAAAGGGGTCAGGACGGGTTTTATTCAGTAGCAGCTATTGCGATAGGAGTCCCGTGTGAGCTGAACTCAACTTGGACGTGTGCAGAGGTGACCGGGTGAAAGATTTAGAGAGAGCATGAGGGAGGGGGGTGAGTGGGGGTTCAGTAGAGTCAGGGAAGTGTAAAAATTAGAAAAAGCAGCAGGAACGGCTGTTTGGTCCACGTGGAACTCATCTGGGTTTGCTCTGGAGCTTATCGAAGTTAGGCTCCTGCTTTCCCACAGGTACTGGGAGACACGGTTCTGCCTTCAGGTGTCAGCTGGAACAACCAATAACTTTTTGGCCAGCCTTGAGTTTTCTCAGGCAGGCACTTTAAGGAGGGTCGGGCTGTCCTAGGCATGCGGCCTTGAGCTGTTAGAAACTATGTTAGTGCTTGTTCAAGTTTTTATAGGCCAAGGTTTCTACTTGGGAAAGGGCCCGGAGGAGCCTGGACAGACTTGGGTTAAGAAGAGAATCTTTGTCCGTGTCCAGCTTCCAGCTCGCGTCTGTGCAGCCTTGATCACGTTGGCTGGGGGATGCCGGGCACCCACAGAGGAGCACACTTTGGGAGGTCCTCATGTGAGTTGCCAGGCGTGGGAGCAGGGTAGGCTGGTGGCTCTGGTCTGATGCCCAGTGGAACCGTTCCAAGCTCAGGCAACAGCTCACTGAGAAACTCATCAGGAGGCGGGCAAAGGACCAGAGGTAGCTCTCCCTTCCTGGAGACAGACGGGAGGTGTGGGCCGCATTTCCGGAAACTCTTAGTGACCAAATGCCATATCTGAGGGTCATCCTTCTTCATCACCAATGTCCTATTCAAGAAGACACCTCTTGCAATTCTAGTAAGACTTTCTGTTGCTCACTAAAATTATATCTTTGATTGCTTTGAACTTGAATTGAGTTTGACACAAGATCAAGAGGATCACGAAGTAAAGCTGACAGTTCCAAATATGAAAAAGAATCTAATTTTACTATATACATGTAATACAGTATTAAAGTCTTAGTGATGCAGCTTTGTTAAGGTTTTTTAAGGGATACAACTCAGTTGTGAAAGGTATTTTTAATGTCCTATGGGAATAAGGGACATGTTAAAGTGAGATAATTGTATGGGTCATCTTTAAAGTAGTCCGGCTTCTCCCTTCCTGGAGACAGACGGGAGGTGTGGGCCGCATTTCCGGAAACTCTTAGTGACCAAATGCCATATCTGAGGGTCATCCTTCTTCATCACCAATGTCCTATTCAAGAAGACACCTCTTGCAATTCTAGTAAGACTTTCTGTTGCTCACTAAAATTATATCTTTGATTGCTTTGAACTTGAATTGAGTTTGACACAAGATCAAGAGGATCACGAAGTAAAGCTGACAGTTCCAAATATGAAAAAGAATCTAATTTTACTATATACATGTAATACAGTATTAAAGTCTTAGTGATGCAGCTTTGTTAAGGTTTTTTAAGGGATACAACTCAGTTGTGAAAGGTATTTTTAATGTCCTATGGGAATAAGGGACATGTAAAGTGAGATAATTGTATGGGTCATCTTTAAAGTAGTCCGGCTTTGTCTTTGGAGTTTACTTACTGTCATGGTTGTAAGCACAGGATGATGTATTAAGCAAAACATTGTGCACTTTTACTCCTTAAGCAAATTAATTCAAGAAAACAAATGACTATTACTATATTTATGTTCTTTAGCACAGAAAATAAAAAATACATCAGATGACCAGAGGCTGAGGAGGAGATCCACTCCTCCAAATGTCACTAGGCTCTAAAGCACAGGATCTTACATGTATATATATATGTGTGTGTGTGTATGTATGTGCTTTTTCTTTTGTCTTTACGTCATAGTACATTCTGGAGTCATACACTATGCCTCTCGGCAGTGACCGTGCTCTGCCGATTAGAATATATGAAAGGTTCACAACTTTCAAGTAAGCACAATTTGTTACTTAATGTGAATCTGCTTTCGGTGAGTGAAGCTGGGTTCCTTCTAGAAGATTTATTTGGGAACTTGCCCCCAAACCTAAGGCAGATTGTCAGACTTCACTGGAGATAAGAATCTCTTTCCTTCCTCCCTGCTCTTCCCTTCTCTTCCTTCCACCCCTGTTCTTTCTTCCCCTCCTCAGCTCCCCTCTGCCGCACTCACCATCTCTCTCCCTTTTCCTCTCTCTGTCTCTCTGTCTCTGTCTGTTTCTGTCTGTCTCTCCATCTCCCTCTCACCTACCCCCGCCCCTGACCTCTCACCTGGAAGTGGTTTCAGCTCCCCTCTGCCGCACTCACCATCTCTCTCCCTTTTCCTCTCTCTGTCTCTCTGTCTCTCTGTCTCTGTCTGTTTCTGTCTGTCTCTCCATCTCCCTCTCACCTACCCCCGCCCCTGACCTCTCACCTGGAAGTGGTTCTTACCTCCCGGCAAGCTCCACCTCCCTCACCATGTCTGCTCTGCCTCAGCTTCCAGGCAGAGCATGGTTTGCTGTTGGGAAATTCACACCCTAGGAAGCAATTACCGTACCTTATAGACTGTTTCACATAGGCTTCCAGGGGACTAGGCCAAGGGGGTTAAGGAAATTAACCCCAAGTAAGTGGCTTGAAACCAGAATGGCTTGTTCAGGATGGGGTGCATCCACCTCAGTGGGGGGCGGTGAGTGGAGTCTTGGCTCACTTGTCCTTCCGGGGCCACAGCTCTGGCTTCCCAGGGCTCCTTTCCTGGGGCCCTTTGCCTTGCTCAGCTCCTGGGGCCTCATTTTCCTAAATCTCCACTTTTATTAATAGTTCTTGTATGTAAAGCACAAACAGCACAATGAAATGTTCTGCCTGCAAATGCATTTGGGTTGGCACATTAAGTAGGAACTCTCAGAGGTGTTTGGAATGCCCTTCCCCAGGCCCCGCAGACTGTCTTTGCTAAAGTGCTCACACTGCTTCCCTCCTTTCTGCAGGAATCTCCCAGCTGTCCAGGGGAGAGGGCACTTTCCTTGGGATTTGCTTTCTAATACTACCCCCACCGTTTGCTCTCACCGCAGACTTAATCATGTTGTCCTTCTGCAGTGCTTTAATGTGAGGCAAAGTTGCTTGTCTTTCACTGCAAGCTCCCAGAAAGAAACACTGGTGCCTGGTCTCTTTTAATCTCCCTGTTATGAACACCTTGCCCAGCAAATAAGAGAGACTTGCACTGATATATTTAAGGAATGGTTCTGGCACAGGGAGGTGACACAGCCGTGCTGGCTCTTATTATCTGTCCTGCTTTTCGTATAGTGGTTGTTTCCTACTGCAAAACAAATATAGTTCAGTTATGGAAAACATGGAAAAATACTGAAAGGGTTTAAAAAAGAAAGTAAAAATGACTTACCATATCTTCACCCAGGCATAACTTAACATTTCAGTGTAAGTCCTTCCAGTCATTTTATGTAAATAAAAATTTAAAATCTGATTTCAATATTACCACAAATACTGTTCTGTGACTGGCTTTTCTGACGTTACTGAATAGTGTGCACATTTTTGCTTGTTAAATATGCTTCCAGAACATAATTTTAATGATGGAATAGTATTCCATGATGTAGGTGTACCACAATTTAGCTTCCCGGTTATTGTTACTGGACATTTAACCTGCTCTAAATTCTTGTCAGTAAATCTCCGTGAATGTCCCTGTTCATAACATAAAGTCCTGGAAATAAGATTGCTAGGTCCAAGGGTATACCCAATGTAAAGGTGCATATAATTTAAAGAAGTGAATTGACTTCTGGAACAGTTAGTAAATTAATATTCCCACCAGCATTGAAAATGCCTTTCCCTCATGGATTATGGTGGTTAATTTTGTGTCAGCTTGACTGGGCTAAGATGTGCCCAGATAGCTGGTAAAACATTATTTCCGGGTGTGTTTGTTTTGTTTCTCTGGACAACCCTGACTGTAATGATATATATTTTTTGAAGATGGTGATGATGATGATGATGAATTCCTGGGACAGTGCCTGGTACCCAGTTGACTCTCAGTAAATACTTGATGAACTCATGAAATGCTGTTTGTTAGGTGGCGTTAGCACTTCTTGCTGTGGATGACTTTGAGGGAGGCATGACCTGGTGGGTGTAGTCACCCTCTCTGGGAGACCTCACCTCTCATTCCCTTGCCTGTTCCAATTCTGTTCTTACACGGGGTCCCCCATCCATCTTCCCTCTTCCATCATGCCTTCTTTGAGCATGCCAGCCCATGGAGAGCTCGCCCACCTATGACATCATGTAACTTCTGTTTTTATCACTGTTGACATAACATTGTGTTGTCATTCCACTGTTTCTGTAAGCTGCTGTGGCAGAAGGATGATGCAAAAAGATTTATATGTGAAAGAGTCAAACGATGCAAAAAGTAAAATATGAAAGTCTCTTTACCCCACAACCTAATAGCTAAAATACACAGAACTGGGTAATTTATAAAGAAAATGAAATTTATTGCTTACAGTATCAGAGGCTGGGAAGTCCAAAGTCCAGGAAACACATCTGGTGAAGGCCTTGGTGGTGACAGTACCTCAGGGGTCTCACATGGCAGAAGATGGAGCAGAAAGAGAGTAACCTTCTCATGTGTTATGCTTTTAAAACCCTCAGAACTACGCCCCTTACCAACTTTTTTAATCTGTTCACTACTGCACGGTCCTAAGCCTCAATGAGGTTGGAGGGGCATCCGATCTACCGCATT